GTCCTTATAATAATAATAATTTTAACTAATACATTTAATTGGGAAAAATATTTTAGAAAAGACAATACTGATTTATTATAAAAAAACTAATTTAATTAATTTTTTCAATGTATTCAAACTAATTAAGTAGCTCTTATATTAAAGACATGAAGTAGTATTAAGAATTATGGGAAGGTTTTTTGATAAAGAATTAAGAACCAAACGAATTATTATTTATATTGCACCCTAACCTAGTCATAAATCTTCCAATGCTAGTCTTCTTCTTTCATTAAGAAAAGAATTTTCCGAAGAAATTTAGTGAAACCAAATGTCACGGGCAATCAATGATCTTAAGCTTTATACTTTTGAAAAAGCCAATGCGGAAATATAGGGAAACGGGCGAAGAAAAAGCCGAAGATGACCATGATGGATTTTTTTTTTTTTGTGATAATTTTTTTTGTTATAACAACCATGACGGAAATTTTACGGAAACAGTTATATGTAATCGGTCACTAATTTGAACAGATTAAAAAAATTAGTTAAGTTAATTATTTGTAATAAATATGTGTTGTCTTTTTCAAAATATCCTTACTAATTAAGCGTATTGGCTAGAATTACTATTATCACAAGAGCTATCTTAAAAAAAATAGATAAATATAAGAGACAAAATAGATTGTAGTTTTATATTTAGAATCAAAATAAAAGTAAAATTAATTTTTATGTTATGGACGGGAGGTACTAGTAGCATAAACATTTTTACAAAAATAAAGTAAAGTACGAAACAAGAATTGCTAACAAGCTGACACGTGACATCATCTGTGTATAGATAAATGGTCTTTACTTCTTCTTCTTCTTTTTTTTTTTTTAAAAAAGCCACGTTTCCATGTTTCTCAATTAGTTTTCTTGTATTAAAATATATATTGTCACTTATCAACTCATTCTTCTTCTTTTTTTTCGGTAATCTAGGGCGCTTTTAGGGCCTTTGGCCCCCCCGTGATTCCCCCCAGTATCCGGCGCTTTTTTTGGGCCCTGACCTTCCATTGAGTCAGGTAAACCCGAGCAACTGATTAATCTGGAGTCGAGGTGTGTGTGGAGCGCATCCTATAGCACTTTGTGCCAAGATGGCCGCTAACCATTGCGCCCAACACTTGTTGGTTATCAACTCATTCTTTGCAAAACTCATGCTCTTGCTGCTAATCAGAATATTCCTCAAGTAATTGCTATTGTAAACTAGCAGTTTTTGCATCATAACTGCACATGCGTGATAGTTGCTAAAGTTGCACAGTTCAATAAGAGAGAGCTTCTCGGTTATCTACTTTGCTTTCTTTATGAAGTTTACGCATAACAACATTATATTGTGATTATATATATTAGCAAAACATGTTATAATAGTAGATATAACATCTAGGAGCAATCTGTATTTAGAAAAAGGAGAAAGAAAGAAATCCAGGAGCAACAATACTCTGAATGTTTGAAAATAAGGATCTTATAGACGTGTCACAAAAAAAAAACATTTAATATTACATATAAAGAGATTTTTTATAATCTAATGTCCTAAATATATATATAAATTTTAACTAACTGTTACATTGTGATTCAACTTTTTATACTATACAAAGAAGTGCTAATTCATACCCGTGCATTGCACGGGTAGTGTACTAGTTCCGTGTTAAACGGTCGCCAACTGAACATTATTGGGATGAGAAAAAACAGTATCGTATAAAATCAACTATGAAGCCATGGTCCAGAGCTGACAATGATAGTCAACACCCATCTTGAGAAGCACGTTAAGAGTTATTGGGGAGCTAGTTTTTCCTTCGAAGGAAATTACCCATCAGCTTTTGCTGCATTTTCCCATTTAGTGCGCATAAAGGTCATGTTTAAAAATGATTTCCCCCTGAATTATTGCTTTAAACGATTGGAGATCTCACAAAAGTACAATAAAGACCGCATGTATTTCCGCTCAGAAAAGAAAGTTATAATGTTCTGCTTCCTTCCCACATTACAGAGGATCAGTTTTGAGTTTTGACAGGCATTCACAAAGAGTTTGGTTTTTCCCTTCTTTAATGAAGAACTCCACCAGACACTTCAAAAAATATAAGATAAATATTTTCTAAAAGAATTACGAGCCAAGCACTTGATTTCAAGTTGGAGTTCCACAAGAAAAATTTATATTCACATGTTCAAAATATGGTCGACACTCAACCGTCACCTTACCAAGCAAGTCAATGAACTCTCATCTTCTTGAAATGGAAGTTGAACCAGCGTTATGGGACTATCATATTTATCGATCAGCGCTTATAACCAGCCGAAATCAGCAATTCAAAATTAACTTTCACATTAAGCAATAAATAAATCAGGAGATCAATCTTGCTTGTTTTCGTGAGGCTACTCCGGGTTGAGTTCCAGTTCCAGACTAGCAAGCGACAGCGTTTTGGAAGAGATCAGGAGATCAATCTTGCTTGTTTCTCGAGTCGTTCCCGTAAAAATTGTCCCTTATTTTCAATGCTTCAGGTCAAATGGGACCCAAACGTAACATTTTTCAACAAGGCTTTGAATCTTACTCCACCATATTATAAGGAATCTGCATTTTTTGTTGTACTTCCGTTGTTGATATAGAAATTATTAGGAAGAATTATAATAAGATCTTAAAGAAAAAAATAATTATTAAAAAAATCTCAACAACAACTTAAACAGTTCCAAAATAGAAAATAACAATTTTTAAAACTTGCTTTTGTAATTATTTTTTTCTTAAGACCTCAAAGTAATTCTCTCTAAAAATTATTGTTTGCTGTTCCATCACAATAAACACGAGACTCATTATGTAATTAGTTTCGGCGCAGGCACTAAACCCATGATCAAGTCACTGTTCAAACATGTTTTAATAAAGATGCTAGCGCATTTTGAATGACTTGAAGTTCCAAGCGTCTTAGATTTTCTTTTCCCAAGCAGCTCGACTACCAACATCTCAGCATGCAAAATACACGTATTTAAAATGTCTTTTATTACAGCCTACCCACTGCAAAAATCAAAACAAGATCTCTCTCTCAGGATAGAGCTCGCTCCCACACAAGCCACATTCTATTGATGACCTTCTTGGTACGAATCATTACGCTCATACAAGACGAGTCTTGACAAAACTGCACGTTAGAATAAAATAAAACCCAATAAAACATAAAACAAACAGATAATGATTTCTGGCACTAAGGTTGATCATACAAGACTAGAAATGAGAAACCAGATATCCTTATTTTTGTACTCTTGGTTCTTGTCTGTAATTTCATAAATCCGTGGTTCTCCAGTGTTTCCATGATCTTTATAGGTCATTCTCCCGTACAAAACCTAATCAACCATAAAACAAACGGAACATGAAAAGCATATTCTCTGATTGGGATCCTAGCCAAACCATATTGCCAATGGTTTCTGACAGTAAGGTTGATCATGGAATGGCATAATAAGCTAGCTTTTTTGGGGGGTTTTCTATCTCTGATTGATTGCCTCATTGCAACATTATTCTCTTTCTCTGATGGTGCCATCTGTCCCTCCTTGTTGCTGCTCTCTTGATACGCAAGTCATGGAAGCATCAACCTGCTTCCCCAGTTCAAATTTCACAAGTGAAAGAAATCCAGTATGTTTTCAAATCTCTATATAATTTACGAGCAAGTATACAGTTAGTTTGCCCTATTTGCCAAAGAATGCTAAAGTTCCTTATTAACCATGCAACACATCCATATTACAGTGCATACAATTTGAACTTTCACACATCAAGCAAAACTGCAATGTGAGAAATACATGCGTATCAATAAGCATTGCTTGACCAAATAAAAAATGATGTTCCCAACAGAATCAGGAAATGTTTGCATTCTGCAATGATTGGCATGCCACTGCACCTGCAGATGTCCGCATTACATGCTCCCCGAGCATTGCTATACAAGAAGCATCTGTCTTAAGATGAGGCTGTACGGATTCCCACGTCTTCTTTTTTTAAATCTGCAGGTAGTCACAGAAGAATAGTAAATATGGCATCGAAACATGGGACTGAGATCACTGATAAATTACCTAGATATAACAGAGAAACAATAAACTTTGCAAGAAATTTTAAGAGAAAATATCACCTTTTCATTTCCTTCAGCTGAACTAGACATATTTTTGTGTATTGTATAAAATTTGATAAATGATTTGAGTTGCTTATAGCTCATAAATAGTGTAGTTTGCTGTGAACTTTTTATAACATATTGAGAGCTTGTTGGAGTAGGAGCGATACAAGTCGGATAATAGGTCACTCAAGACTATACTGTCATTTTCCTTGGAATTACTATCCTTATGTTCGTCGATTCCAAAATTCACTTCAACGGAATTGATGTCACTCATTCCTTTCCATGTCCTCATTCCTAAACTCTAGAATGTGATTGAATTCAGTGTTGCCACATCAAAACCAATTCCAAATAGCTGTAGATCCCATTCCATCAACACAACCCAGAAAGAGAGGCTCATTGAACAAGAAAATTCAGCGATTCAATTGAAAATCGCCCAATATTTAAGATGGCAAAGTATCATGCATAACAACAATTAGGAAGTACACATGAATATGTGAAAGCAAAGTCAACAGGTAATATCAGGATCTGAGAGGATGAAAAGAAAAGCAATCAGTGTCTGAGCTTAAAATTTTAACCATTATAAACACAGTCATAGTTTTTTCAACGATTGAGATAATTTTCAGAGCCTTACCGGGTTTAACAGAACGATAGTTTCCTTCGTAACTAGCTGTAATTAAAGTTTCGGAGCTACTAGTGCCTTTCCTATTATGCAAAGTTGACAACTATTCTCATGTCTCAACAAAATTTTTCCACGACTGACAAGAACAAACTTATCCCGATATTTTTAGCAGTAAAAAAATCATTGTCCTAACTGACAAGAACAAACTTATCCCGATATTTTCAGCAGTAAAAAAATCATTGTCCTAAATTATAGAACTTATCCTCATTGGAAAAAGCTATCATGTAATAAAGTAGAGCTATTACCTGATTGGGAGTCGCAGGAGCAGGTTGATTTTCCTTTTCATCTTCTGACCCAAACCATATTCTTTCCCCAGGGGCTGCTTCCTCAGGAGGAAAAAGAAGTTCAACATTCTCATGCTTGGCATCAGAAGCAGCCATGAGCATGCCAGAAGACTTGACACCACGCATGTTCCTTGGCTTCAAATTGGAAAGGACAGTTACTTTTTTGCCCTGCATATATGAATTATTTATTACGTTGAACAATGTCAGACTTCAAGTTCAATTCTGAAAAACTATCTTCGATTTAAAAACAGTTACTCCAGTCCAGTAGAAAAAATCCGTCTAATCTATCAACTTATGCAATATTTGCAGAACATAAACCGTCTTGCTAACATAATTCTCATTTCAAGGAGCAACAAAGGACAGGCCTTGAAAGTAAAGTATGGAAAATCACTGTTCTTCTCTAAACGCCCTTACCAAGTCCAAGAACACAAATTGACATGGAAGACCAGCGCAAGATGCATCTTGCAGTTTTTTCTTTTTTTGTTTTTTTTAAATTATCATTAAAACTTCAAAAACACCAATGAGATCTTGTGTGTGTGTGTGTGTGTTCCCATCCACGTGTTTGTCAATTCGTTTATCACATTTGTAACAATGTCAAATAGAGATCCTATTTTTCCAAGGTAGAGAAACTAGGAAGACAGCTGCCAAATACATTGAGTACGAATCAAATTATCAATTTTAAACAACAATTTTCTCATTTATCAAAATATGAATGCTACTAGCTACTAGTAAAGGCTCAGCAATCAAACCTTATAACAAGCTGATATCAAAAAATTACCTCAAGATGGTCAAGAGGAATGTATTTGACAAGGCCACTGCAAATGATTCTGGGCTCTGGCTCACCAATATCCACCTCTTCCACATAAAGAGAGTCAGCCTCCTCGTGTTTCCACGCCCTTAGAATTCTCCCAACCCTTATGTCAAGCAAGCCGGCAGCGACCTTAACATTTATTTCATTGTTACCAGAAGCATCACCGGAAGTGGTTGCCACGGATTCCGTCACTGCTTCATCAGTAGAAGCGGTGCAAAAAGAAGAGAAGGGATATGAGATTCTTCTTCTTTCTCGGGATGGTGATGGGGAGATGGAGAAAATGGGGAATTTGGATTGAGTAATGAGAGAAGAACGAGTTACCAAGGAAGAAAAGGAGCCATAGGCCCTAGTTCTCCATAAGGAAGAAAGCGACAGCATAGTACTGCTGCCCTTTATAGCATTTGCAGCGACGGTGCTCGTCGCCATTGCCACCGTAGTCTAATCTTCAGCGATCTTTTACAGCTTTCCGGCTGTGCGTAAATGATATAGGCTCCCGAGTGTAAAAATTTAAATTATAAAAACCCTTGTAGGAAATAACTACATGAATACCCAAGAAGATAAACTACTGCATGTTCTATTCAACTTATGTTTTGGTATGATATTAAAATAACGGAAGAATTGTAATTAAGTCCCACTCAAGAGAATTAAATATAAAAAGGTCTCTTAAAATCATGAAATTATCCTGAAATCTCAAGGGACCTTTTTGCAATAAATTTCATTTGTTTAATTACCAAATTACCCTTTTTTTTTTAAAAAAAAATTTGTATTGACAACTGAAAAAGCAGTGGTTGACAACTAGGGGTGGAAATAGGCCAGGCCGCCTGTCAAGGGCCTGTGGCCTGGCCTGCAGTTGGCCTGGCCTGGCCTATTTCCGTATAAGAACAGGCTTAGGCTTCTTTAAAAGCCTGTTTATCTTATCAAGTCAGGCTCAGGCTCTCTAAGAAACCTATTAGGCCTGTCAGGCGGCCTGAGCCTGTTAGTATTTTTTTAAGGTTATAATGGTAAATCTGATATAACCTATGTGAGCCACTCAATTTTAACCTAGGCGCCGCACTTCCCATCCCATCTCCGCATTCGCTTCGTCTTCTTCTCGAGTCACTCAACACTTCACGCAGAAGCAAAGCCTTCGGCCTTCATTCAATCACAGCCTTCGCCCTTCACCGTCAGGTCGCACTTCGCCTTTCAACTCGCTGCTCCGTCTCCGACTTCTGTCTAGGTATTTTGAAGAGTATGTTCTTATATATATATATATATAGAGAGAGAGAGTCGTGAGCCTGTATATATGACCACCTTTCCCCCTTTTTTAATCATTACTTTAGAGAAATATCAATGAACATACATTTAATCAAAGGATAATCGTAGTTAATCATTTGTAAACTGCTAACATTATTATGCTTTAGAAAAAGATTGATGAATGTATATTTAATAACCTGGAAAGAAGATAAAGAAGAGTTGTGTTTGTAGAGGATGATCGAGATTGAAGGCCCTATATATTCATGAGGAGTAAAATTCAAAGTACTTCGGCCAGAGACAAAGGAGATTAGTTATTTTATTATTAGTGTTTATTATTAGCGTTTGTTTCAGGAACAAAACAAAGAAACCGACTTGTTCAATTTGATTTTGTGATTAATTTCACTCAATTTGTACAGTTTGATTCTTATTATTGTTATGGATTAATTTTAAGAAAGAAATTGTAATATAAATTTGATTTCTTTTGCTGAAGGTGTTCGAACAAGAAGAAGAGATTGTATTGAAGATTTGATGCTTTACGGTTTGAAGATTTTTTGTAATTGTAACAAGAAAAAATTGTGTTGATTTGAATATTTCATTTTTATGTTCGAATTTTAGATAATTATTGTAATTTTGGATTTATTTATGTATGTTTAAAATTTGTTAAAAATACAAGCTTCTTAACAGGTTTCAGGCCAGGCCAGGTTTGGTTACAGGCCAGGCTTAGGCTGAACAATAAGCCTATCACAGGCCACAGGCCAGGCTCAGGCTAATAGACTTCAATACAGGCCGAGCCTGTTAAGCGTGTATTCTAATTTTTTTTTTTTTTATTTATTCAAACTAACCATATTAATTGTATATGTTAAGCGAGTTTGCATTAAAGGATAGTTCTAGTCTAAATGAGTTAAAATAGTATTTATAGCGAAATCAACACATACTTTTCACAAACAGTTAATTTAACTACTTTATTGATCTACCTAAATTAGATAAGTCTGATCCTTAATATATGATCTACTTGACTAATTTGGATATATTAAAGAAAGTGTTTAAATTAGTTAATCCTCCAATCCTTAATATAAGATCTATTTAACTAATTTGATTAGATTAAGTAAGTTAGGTAAGTTAGTTAATTATAAGAAATATGACATGTTTTTCCTAAAACACCATAATCATCTTCCTTAATATCTTCTATCCCTCTTCTACTTAATTATGGTTAAATGAGTATCCATAGGGACAATTTCGGAAAACTTGATAAATATGAAAAATATGTCTTATATTTAAAACTAAAATCAACTCAATAATTGTGTCTTATATTAAGGATTAGAAGAGTATTTGTTAAAAATATGTGTTGATTTTCATAAGATACCTCCTCAAATAATTCGGATTAAAACTACATCTTGATACAAACTACTTTAATATATACAATCAATGAGGTTACTTTGGATAAGTAAAAGAAACAAAATAGATTAGTACCTTATATTTTAGACTAAATTTAACCCCCTACTAGCTCTTATATTAGAACCAAAAATAATATTAAGATGCATTAAGGTGGGGGAAAGCCTCCCATATCTGCAACGAGGCCTAATCTTGCTGCCATGTTTAGCTCTTCTTGTACGGTGCCTACAATCAATATAAAAAAGATAAAATAAAATTTCATTTTTTTAAAAGTAAATTACCTTCCACACCCAATGTAGAACACCTTTTCTACGTCGGTTATCCGCCACAACTGATTTAGAAGGTGCATCAGAGATATACAATTATTCAATATTCTGTTCATTCTTGTGTTTGTCGTTCTCTTCACAGACCCAATAATGCCTTCGTCTTGGTCTTGGTCTTTGAAGAAACCCACAAATTCTATAGTACGTGGTATAAACATTTTAAAAAAATAAACTTCAATCAGAACAAATAAAGAGAAAGAGAGGTTCTCATTACAAGTCATAACTATGTGCAGGTACCTTCCTGCTTCAATAACTTTCAACTATCACAAAACACGCAACATTTTTTTTTTTTAAATTTTACATCAAACACTGTTGGATTAAGATAAAGGTAAAAAGGAACAAAACATCTAGAAATGAAGTCCACAAGACAAACAATATGCAAAGCAAAAAAACAACAGAAACAAAGAAACAAAATAGAAGAACCATCGTATCCATTAAACTCAGCAACATTTCAAAACCTCCTAACACTTGTAGTATCTTGTTCCAATATATACGAAAAAGAAGGTGATGGCACAGAAATCCACCCTATCAAGCTCACCTCCTTGCAAATACTCCCTGCAGTAAAGCCAGCAATTAAGCAAGTCTTACTAATAATAATGGAAAGGGACATATTATAGCGAGAAGCATAAAGTATAGACACATTATACACAGACAGAAGGAGAAATGCAAATACCTCTAAAACCATCGTCTGTGACGGGGCTTGATTCTGCGGCCATGATTGATTCTTGTTCCATGCAATAACACAAGAAATTTTACAATGGCCACTTCCACAAAAGCAAAGTAAGCATCACTCCAAGATCTCTTCATTGCTAATATGAGAAAAGGCACTAAAAGCCCGGTAGCAAATCCCAATCCAACACTCAAGTAAAACCACTTATCAATGAGCCCATCAGAATCATCGGCTTCATCATTGCCTGCTTCCCTGTTAGAACCATTAACATGACCGTAACCATTATGTAGGCACCTCATGGGAAGGGGACAACCATAGAGATCAGGGTTCCCAACAAATGAAGATGCTTCGAAAGTTGTTGTGTGACCTGTGTAAGGGATGGGACCTAAAAGATTGTTGTAGGACAAATTCAAGTAGCCCAAAAATGATAAGGAAGACAAGTTTTGAGGAATAGAACCAGTGAGTTGATTACTTGAGAGATCAAGGGATAATAGCTGACTCATATTTGATATGCTTTATGGAATGCTGCCGGTTAGGTGATTTCTTGATAGGCTCAAATAGGTTAGACCAGATAGTTTTGTCAATTCATGGGGAATTCTTCCAGACAGGTTGTTTCCAGAAAGGTCTATGCTGGTGACTAGATAAAGAGTGGTGGTGTACATCAATGACTGGCCTTTTGCATTCACAACCAACCTATCTTGATCTCTCCCATAATAATCATAATTTGACTGTCTAACTGCAATACCCTGAATCCAGAGCCCTACTCGCTCCCTACTTTTGTTTAGAATCATTGCTTTAAGATCACCAAAGTTGGCTGGAATGTTACCACTCAAGTCATTCTCCCCAAGATCCAGCACTTGCAATAAACGTAGTTTTGAGAGCTCATGAGGTATTTCTCCAAAGAATGCATTGGATCTCAAGTCAAGATATGTAAGAAAGCCAAATCTATCTCCAATCCAAGAAGGAATTTCACCGAAAAGCTCATTGTTACGAAGGTCCAAGGTCTGCAAATGGGATAAATTAATAAACGATAGTGGTAAATTTCCTGAGAGCCGGTTGTCACTTAGGTGCAATAACGTGAGCCATTGCAATTGACCTAAGGAATTTGGAATAGCCCCAGACAAACTATTGTTGCTAAGGTCTAGTTGATCCAACATAGAACAATTTCCAAGGCTTGAAGGGATCCTCCCAATGAAGTTGTTGCTTGAAAGATCAATGGTCAATAGAGAATCACACTTTTGCCCTATAGACTTCGGTATTTGTCCAGAAAATTGATTTTGGGAAAGAGATTAAAAACTAAAGTTAGTCATTCTCATCCAAAACCAATTTGGTATAGAATCTGAAATGCCAGCATTTGAAAGGTCTAAAATTTTTATCTCTTTCTGTGACTGGAGCCAAGATGGAAACGAAGGTCCCAAAATGCATGAACCCATTATAAGGGCTTCAACTTGGAATGGAGGCATCCAATTGGAGCTGATGTTCACAATGAACAAATTGGAGGATAAGTCTAGGACATCCAGATTGATCAACTTTGAAAAATGAATTTGAGATATTACGCCTCCCAATTGATTAGAAGAAACATCAAATTCCGATAGGTGAGAAAGTTGTCCCACACTTTCTGGAAGAATCCCATCGAGTTTATTCTTTCGAAGGTTCAAGGTAACAAGATTTCGCAACGATCCGAAAGAAGTAGGGATATGTCCTTGAAACAAATTATCACTAAGGTCAAGATTAACCATATTTTCTAGTTGACCTATCCAATATGGGATTTTACCACCCAATTTATTGATGCCCAAATCAAAATATTGCAAATTATGTAGAGGTTTCTTAAAAGGGCAGGTTTGTGTTCCTTCAAGAATTTCAGGTAAATTTCCTGTCATATTATTCCACGATAAAGAAAAACTATTCAAGTTGCAAAGTTTTCCAATAGAGCTGGGAATACCACCCTCAATAGCATTAGAATCAAGATCAAGTCTAGTGAGAGAAGTCATGTCTCCCAAAGACAAGGGAAGTTTTCCGTACACCATGTTTTCTCTAAAATTAATAACTTGTATCTTTTCCCATCTTTTTTGAAAGAGTTGGGAACAGTTTGCTGTAAGATCATAATTCTGACTTAAATCCAACGACACTAAATTTGGCATTTCTCCTAGACCAAGCGGTATTCTTCCATGCAGGTTACTTTCTGTCATATCAATATGTTGCAAGCTACTTACATTTACAAGCCAATCGGGTATCTTTGAATAGAAGTTGTTAAAGCTAAGATCCATGACAACAAGTGAAGAAAAATTCAAAGAAGGCACTGATGGAATATAACCAGACAAGTAACAACCAGATAGATGCAATTCAACAATAGAAGGAAGTTGATTTAATGCACCAGCCCAGTCTTTCACCAACGAAAGGTTAACCTGATTCATAACAAGGTGTTCTAAAGAGACGAGGCCAGTTATCCATTGGAAATTATCAGCACACAATTCATTGACACCGACACTATAACCAAGATCAAGAACTTTCAAGTGAGATAAGTTTCCCAGATGTGTAGGAATGAGGCCACTAAAACCAGCAGTTGACAAGTTCAAATACTGCAAATTCTCCAATGAACCAAAGAATTCAGGTATTGGTATGCCATCAAAGTTGTTAAAACTCAAGTCTAAAAGCCTTAATGACTTGAGCTTCATCAAAGATGGTCTTATCTCACCGCTCAAGTTCCAGAACGCATACCTGTCATCAAACCCATACGGATTGTGGAGATCAACTGCAACAACTGCTTTTGTACTGTTGTCGCACTCTATTCCGTGCCATTCACAACAGTCACTGCCCCTCCATGAAGATAGCACATTATTTGGATCATGAAGCCCACTTTTGAAGTCCATGAGGGCTTCACGATCAGAGGCCAAGCAAGTAACCAAGTGGCCATCACTGCTCCCAGTGGAAACTGAGATTACTAAGTCGCAAAGTGAGAGTAAGAACAACTCAATTACTGGTAGTTTTCCCATTGAAATATCTTTATCTCTAGCAAGCTATGGTTGTAGACCAAAGCTACACATCTCAGTACCATACATATAGACCCACGCACAAAGCATGCCCTTTGTTTACGCGTAACAACATACATGTTACTGAAATATTTGTTATTTTGTTCAGTGTTAAATGGCCGACAAGTGAACATTATTTTAAGACGGGTTGAAAAAAAAGCAGTATCATATAAAATCAACTAATAGGTATAGGTTCAGTCCGCGGCAGACAAAGATATCGTGTACACCCATCTCGAGAACTAAGTTAAAAGTTATTCCAAAGCTAGTTTTTTTTTTTCCCCCGAAGTTACCCACCACCTTCTGCTGCAATTTTCCATGTAGTGCGCATAACAACAGCAACATAGGCCCACGCCTATATAAATACGACACCGTCATTTGATTGAACGAAAAGAGAAAATGGTGATTTAATTTGTTCCCCCAAATGTGCACAGACATGGTATTTCACAGGAGAGACAAAGTGAGAAAATATGAGTGGTTTCTTGCGTTGTTGCTGTGGGTTCTTTCTGCAAGGACCCATTAATTATTTTACATAAATTGAAGAATTCAATTAAAAATAATAAATTATCAAAATTTTAAACATACGTTCAATAAAATTAATGGATTATAGTTAAGAAATATCAAAGGAAATGATACTTGGAAAAACAATCAATGCTTTAAACAAAGGGCCTTAATTATGTATTAAGAATTATGGGGATTTTTTTGATAAAGAGCCAAACGAATTATTATTTATATTTCACCCCAACCTGGGCATAATCTTCTAATGCTAGTCTTCTTCTTTCATTAAGAAAAGGATTTTCCGAAGAAATTTAGTGAAACCGAATGTTACGGGTCAATCAATGTTCTTAAGCTTTATACTTTTGAAAAAGCCAACGCGGAAATATAAGGAAAGGGGTGAAGAAAAAGCCGAAGATGACCATGATGGATTATTATTATTTATTTTTTTTGTGATATTTTTTTTTTTGTTGTAACAACCATGACGGAAATTTTACGGAAACAGTTATGTAATTGGTCATCGCCTTCATCACAAACGCTGATTTTTGCAGCGATCCCTCCCTTCTCCTTTCTCTCGCCTTTATGTTGGTGGTTTGACGAAGCTCACAAATTCTAAAGTACTGCCCCCACGTAATATAAGAACTAGTTATTTAATTTGAATAGATTAAAAAAAAATTAATTAAATTAGTTATTAACAATAAACAGGTACTGTCTTTCCTAAAATATCCTTACTAATCAAATGCATTGGCTAAGAACTAGCATTATTACAAGGATTACCTTAAAAAAATAAATAAATATGAAAAACAAAGTGAATTAGAGTTTTATACTTAGAATTAAAATAAAAATCAAATTAGTTTTTATAGTACTAGTAGCATAACCATTTTAAAAAAATAAAGTTCAATAAATATATATTTATAGAGAAAGGGAGAGAAGGGGGGCTATTCTCGTAAGTCATAACAAATGTGCATGTACCTTCATGCTTCAATAACTTTCAACTGTTACAAAACATGCAACATTTTTTTTTTAATTTTACATCAAACACTGCTGGATTATATAAAGGTAAAGAAGAACAAAACACCTAGAAATGAAGTCCACAGAACAAAAACCAACAAAGAAGAAATATTAAACCAACCCAACAAAAAAAAAAAACCAGAAATCCTTAGCAGCATTTTAGGACCTGATCCTGACACTTGTAGCATCTTGTTCCAAGATAGAGGAAAAAGAAGGTGAAGGCCAGAAATTTCAGCCGCATCTCATATGGAGAATAGATTCCCTTTTAAGACCATATGTGCCACATCAATACAAAGGCTTGCAAACGCTACCAGCAATAAAGTCAGTAAATAAATAAATTCTTGCCACAAATAATGGAAAGAGACGTACTATAGCGAGAAGCATAAAAAGTTAGGATCTAGTAGTACAGATAAATTATACACAATCAAAAGTAGGAGTATTTATGAGCTCAATAACCCGGTTTGTCTACCCGAACCTACCAAAAAATGTCTAGCCCAGCCAAAATCAATTTGGGTCAGGCTAATCACTGGCGGGGCCAGATCACAGGCAAGACATGCAACCTTACTTATTTGGCCCTGCCTGAAATTTATATAATTATTTGTGTTATAATATATATTTTTCATAATTATAATATATATAGTATAATATTAAGATATTATATTTTATTATATTTCAATACCAAAAAGACCTTACATTTTTAAAGTTCTAGTTTTTTTTTAAAAAAAAATACTACCTTTTTTAATTTTTTTGAATTACCTTGCTATGTACTATAATTGTCTTTTAATTTTTTCAAGTTGATATTACTTCATATATTATGAAATGATACTAATTATACGAACTTGAATGTAATATATAGATGTCTATAAATTATATTAAACCATAAGTTAATAATATAATTGAATATGTGAATATAGCTTGTATTTGTTTTACACGCTTTGTCATTTTCTCAACTTTGTGAAGACTGACGTGAATCATTTGAACTTTAAGGTTTTAATTACAATTTTTTTATTGTCTTATTTTTAATAATTATACATATTGTTTAATTCTTGAAGCATGGATAGCTCTTAAGACATATGGTAGTATTTTAAATTTCATGACTTAAGTTGTAAATTTGAGCAAGGAAAACCTGCCCTATCCAACCCCTATTAACCTAGCCCAAAATAGCTAGGGCTTCTACTAGATATTGGGATGCATTTATCCTTCGAGATGGGCGTCAAACAAGAGTCCTATCCTACCCTGTCCAGTCCATGCACACCCTTAGACAGAAAGAGAAATCCAAATACCTCTAAAACTATTGTCTGTGACGGGGCTTGATTCTATAACCATGATTGCTTCTTGTTCTACACAGCAACACAAGAAATTTTACAATGACCACTTCCACAAAATCAAAAATCAAAGTAAGCATCAAATGTAGTATTATTTATATTTTCCCCAATGTAGTCATAATTTTCCGATACTGGTAACTAACTTAACTAATCAGATGTAGTATTATAGTTTATCCAACCTAGTAATCTCCGGATGCTAGTCTTCTTTCATTAAAAAAAGGATTTTTTTTTTGAAGAAATTTAGTGGAAAAAAATGTGATGGGTCAAACAATGTTCTTAAGGCTCATACTTTTGGAAAAGCCGATGAAGAAGTATAGGAAAGGGTTGAAAGTGTGAAACACGGTTTCGAGCTGTTCTTAAGCTTTATGCTTTTGAAAAAGCCGAGGTGGCCATGATGGAAATTTCCTTGCCGTTTTACTTTTTTTCCCCCCTCATAACAACCATGGTGGAAATTTTATGCAAAGTTATTTTTTATGGGGTTCATATAATATTATCTCATATTTTAATTATAAGACTTTATTTTTAAACTACAAATAAAGTCTTATAATTCATAGCGAAATTAGTATTAAATAATTTATAAGGGCTAGCTCTTTTATTCAAAATCAAAAGGGCTAGCATTTATCAGGCCGATCATTTAGTCTTTTTTAATATTTATTATTTTTATTTTTGAAGTAAAAATATATACCTGCAATTTAAATCATGAAATCATAACCTCTAAACAATTTTAAAATACTGATCATAGTCACATTATAATTTAAATAATTATTTAAATAAATTATATAGATTTTATTAACATCTAATTAACATCCCCACAATGTTCAAAACTTAGTAATGATAAGAAGGCAGCGAGGCCAAGAAGGAAGATAAAAGAAAAGACTAAAGACCAAAACTCTAATACTCTTAAAAAATATATTCCTCCGGTCCTAAATGTAAGACCCTTATACTAGTGTGTATAGGGGTCTTACATTTAGGACCGGAGGAGTACTGTTTTCTGTTTTAATTATAAAATTTTATTTATAGTCTATAAATGAGATCTTATAATTTTATTTATAGTTTATAAATAAGATCTTATAATTAGAATAAGAGGTAGTATATGAGAGGGTTGATAATGCGGTGTTACCACACGATTAGCGGAGGAAAGGAAAGTAAAATGGGTGATTATAAAATTTGATTGAAACTCAGAAATCAAAATATCAAATTCTTAAAGGACATCACCGAAATAAAGTTTGGAAAAAGTGCGTTCAGCCAATTTATTTTCGGTCATCCCATTTCACTTGACGTATGTCTAACAACCTTTTGAGATTTCAATTCACCATATTTATCAAGTTTAACATGAATAATTAAGAACCTTTACCATTTCATGAGTTTACGATGGGCAGTTTTGAATCTTTCTTAACAAGCCCAAATTCCTCGAGTCTGTAACAACTCCTCCTTATAACCTGTACATAATAACTCTTCTCAAGGTACAACCACCTTAGGTAATATTACCTCCCATTTTTAATATAAAAATAAATTTGACATTATTTTCAGTCCTTAATATAAATATAAGAGTTTGTTTAATTTTTATTTTGATTCTAAATATAAAATTTCAATCTACTTTGTCTCCCATATTTATCCATTTTTTTTCAAAATAGCCTTTGTAATAATGATAGTTCTAGCTAATACACTTGATTGGTAAGGATATTTTAGGAAAGACAACACCTATTTATTATAAATAACTAGTTTAAGAAAAATTTTTAATCAACTCAAATTAGTCAATTAGCTGTTATATTAAGGATCATAGGTAGTATTCAATTTGATTTCAAATATAATACCATAATCCATTTTATCTCTCATATTTATCTTTTTTTAAATATAGTTTTTATAATAGTTACATATGTTAACAATTTTATCAAATAGTAGTTTTAGCTAATACACATGATTAACAAGAGTATTTTAGAAAATACAATACCTATTTATTATAAATAATTAACTTAACTAATTTTTTTAATTCTTTAAATTAGTTAATAGCTCTCATATTAAGAATTGGAGGGTAGTGTTGTAAAAAAGAATAAGTGTTTACAGCAATATCTCTCATACTTCAATAGACGATTAGCACTAATGCGCACCGAGCATAAGCAAAGAGGTTTTGAATAC